CCACAGATATTCAAGGCCCATTGACTATAATGGCAATGCGCCATTTTGTCCCTCCTGGCTTGCCATCTGCGGAAACTCAAAACCGTGAACGGGAAGTCCGTGAACGGGGAGGGACGACTGTATTTACATTCCTTCATTGACTTGGTTCACATAGAACCTTCACCCAGATTCCTGAGCTGTTACTTGTTATTACACTCTCAATACACACAGCTCAGCTCTCTCAGCTCAGCTCTCTTTTTATAACCGCTCCTCAGGTGGTTTTTAATATCCCCCCTCCAGCCTTCCTGGCTGTAAACCCCTCAGGATCCTGACACACTTCACCAATATCACTGGCTCCTCCTCCTCTTATACTCGCTTCTCAGAGCAACCCCCACATTTTCCCAGTCCAATTCCTGTTGGCTGTCCCAACGCTCTATTCTGCCTGTGTTTCTCCACAGGAATAATCATTTTCTGGTCTCAGGAAACTCATACATAAAATTCATTAAGGCATATACTCCACTATAAGTCAACCTCATGTATAGGTTAAAGGCAGGTTTGGGGGCTAAAATTATGGATTTTGATATGACTCATGCATAAGTCAAGGGTAAACCTTAAGGGCATGCAGCAAAGGATCTAAATGATGAAGCAGAGCAAAATAATGCTAAAGAATTTACAAAATCCCAGCAGGCATAATTGTCTGTGCTCATACTAAAGGCTGGATGGATGAGAGAAGCGAGGAGGCTTCCAGAATAGATTAGACTCTTGCCTTTTACCAGAGAATGGTTTATTTTTTATATAAGTGTTAAAGTACACTACTTACTGCATGTACACTGACCCCTAGGATAAGTTGGCTCAGCTTTTCTCAGTCAATTTTTGGACTAAAATTTCTAGACTTATACATGAGGCTATACAGTACATCTTCAATTCAAAAAAGTTTAATTTTCTTTTCAATCACAGTATCTTGTCAGCATGGTGTAGTGGCAAGCATGGTGTAGTGGCACTGTAGGGCTATGACTTTGGAGACCAGGGTTTGAATTCCTATTCAGCCATGAAAACCCACTGGGTGACATTGGGCAAGTCACAGTTTCTCAGCATCAGAGGAAGGCAAAAGCAAACCTCCTCTGAACAAATCTTGCCAGGAAAACCCATGATAGGATTGCCATAAGTTGAAAACAACTTAAAGGCACACAACAACAGAAACAACAAATCTCACAGGACCCTTAGCAACTTCTCACAGAACCCTAGAGTATGAATCGATGGGCTATTTCATTCTACATCTTCAGTTAGTCACAAAAGTGCTACAAGATCCCTTTGCATACTGATTTTCCAGACTAACATGTCTAGGTCTTTCATTATAAGACTGCTGGTAACATTAAAGTCAGTGCAGACCTGGTGAGACGGTTCTGGTTGTGGTGGTGGTGGTACTGATGATTTCTTTAACCCATCTTTCCCTATGGGTTGTCAATCTGCTCTCTTTCCTCTCTTATCCATTCTGCATTGGTGATGCATTGGAGCTCCCAAATATGGGGCTTGTTGAAAACATGGTGATGGGTACCACATTATCTTAATGTTGATGAGCATCCAAAAACCAACAAATTAAAACAACCAATTTGCTGCTATTTCCCAACATCCTAAAGCAACAGCCTAGATCGTTGCTTCATTCTGCCTGGTAGCACAGGTTGATATGGATGTGCAATGCTTAGGTGTATATGTGCCATTTGGGAAAATGTGCATACTTCCCCCAAGAGACAGGTGAGTTTTGTGTGACTTGGGTAATTGCTTGAGGGATATGCTGAGTTTCTCCTTCTGCAATGACCAAACAAAGCATTCACCATTGTATGTTATCAACAGGATGCCAGCCAATTTCTCATTATTTTTGTATTCAGATTCCAGAGTTGTGCAATGTGGAACTTCATACACTGGACTGTCCCACAGGTGGAAAGGCAAGTGGTGCGTTTTTCAGAGGTTCTGCAGAGTGAGTGCTCAAAGGAAAGATGGAAATGGTGGGAAGCTGCCACCCCTGCCTGCTTCCTCTAGACCAGGGGTAGGCAATCTTTCCCCTTTAAGGGCCGAGGGACTTCAGTTCCCAGAAGCATCAGTCATGTTGGCCAATAGTCCCATGTTGGCCAATAGCTCCTGGGATTCTGGGAGCTGAAGTCCCTCGGCCCTTAAAGGGGAAAGGTTGCCTACCCCTGCTCTAGACGATCCTGATGAAAAGAGGCAATTCTGGATGTGACCCAGTATTTACAGATATATGAGACAGCAATATTAAGCTAATTTTCAAGTTTCATATGAAACCAGAAAAACTGCATAAAATCTGTGGGAAGTCAGATTTAAAACCAGTGGGCCCTTGCTTTCTACTGGGGTTTTGTTCCAGGATTCCCCATGGACACCAAAATCCATGGATATGCAAATTCCATTATATACAACAGCACAGTAAAATGGTGTTGTTTATATAAAATAACACAATCAAGGTTTCTTTTTGGGGGTTTTTTGTGTGAATATTTTCGAACTATGGTTGGTTGAATTTGTGGATGCAGAATCCATGGATGTGGAGGACCAACTGCACAGCACTAAGCAAGTATTTTATGTATTTCATAAAATACATGTATTTGATGGATTTGTGGTTTGCAAACACATAAGAGATGCAACAAGACTAAGTATTCAATGGGCAAGGATAGACAATGTGTGCGTGGAGGAATACATTGGTTTCTTATGCAGTCCTACTGCTTAAATTGTCCAGGTGGCAAGTCTGACAAGGGTATACCTTTCTCACTTGGTCTGTTTTGCTTCTAGCATCCTAAAACAGATTACTACCAGCTAGGGAGTACTGTGTTAGAAATGTTTAATTCTAGAAAATTAAAATCCCTTTGCAATATTTTACCCTTTCTCTATACAGGTTGTCATAGGTGTCAAAGCCATTTGTCCACTTTTGGAATTCCATTTATGAGACAGTTAAGAGGCTTACTTGCTTGAGATGCTCACTATATCAAAGTCTTTCCAGGGTTTTTACATAGGGACACAGGGAGGCTGGTACAGATGCTTCTGGTTCCTCGTAAGTGCATAATGCAATCATTTCATGTATTAAATTATCTTTCTCTTTCATTATTAAACTGGAACACTAAATTATTACTCTGTGCTACTGAACTTTAAAATTCATATTGGCAAGTTTCATATATTACTTTAATAATCTGTATGCATAATGGCTTCCCCTGAAAATCCTTCTATTGATCCAGTGCTACTAAAAATATTAAGACAAATGCCAACAGAATGTGAGTGTATGCATGCGCATATAAAGGATGACAATCTATTGATGACCATGTCATTCAGTGATTGTTGTTATTTAGAAAAGCTATCAAGTTCCAACCCTATAAAAGGAATATATAGAAATTAAGGAAGTCATTATGCATACTTTAAGCCATGTTATGGAGCATGTGGCCCTTTGGGTGTTATTGGATTGCCACT